AAATTTTCTATGAAAATTTTGCTTTTTTTTTAATTTGGAAGAAATTCTTCAATCAGAAAAGTCTATGCTTCCATTATTAAGGTAAATGAGTAATTTGACTCTACTTGAGTAGGTCAGCATAATTAAAAATCGTGTCACTAGTTATAGTAAGATTTACTTTTGATTACCTGAATTTATTTCTTGAAAGCTGGTTAAGCATTTTCAGTAATGTTTTGATTCTTCTATATGTGGACCTAAGCATAAAAATAGGCATGTATATATATTTTGCCTACTTCTACAAAAATCGATATACCTTTAGCTCAGTGATGCCTCTGCCTGCCTCAGAAGAGCAAGGTTCAGAGTTCGATCCCTGGCGCGCACACACACACACACACACACACACAATCAATCAATCAATCAATATACTTTCTCCAGTAGCATCTAACTTTGTACCAGGCTTATTTGGTTGTCTGCAAGCTCTACCATCTTTTATGTCTCAGGGAACAGAGCATTCCTTGAGTCTGTGTCTCCTCTTGTCCTTTCTTTAGAACACACAATTCCTAGGTCTCAAATAGAAGATTTTCCTCTGAGAAGACCTGTGTGTTCAGGCACAATGCTTAATATCTGGTAGAGGCTCAATAAATTAATGATTCTGTATGTGTATATATGAAAAGATACACTTCATAATCTAAATGAATGAAAGGAAGTATTTTTAAAATTCTATAACTTTTGAAAAGCTGATCAATAATACTTTTAAAGTATCAAAATAACTTATATATTAAAAGTAAGTTTAATCATTTTCATGAAGTAAGGAGAAGAAATTAAAACCAAACTTAAAGAAAGTGGTATGAAAAAGCAATTTTGAAACTTAAAGTGTAGAAATACAAAGGAAATTTTGCATTGTACTATTTAAAACCAATTCCTGGGGCTGAGGATTTAGCTCAGTGGCATCGTGCCTACTTCTAAAGTGCAAGGTCCTGAGATGATCCCTGGTACCAAAAAAAAAAAAAAAAAAAAAAAAAAAAAAACCCAAACCCAATTCCTTCAAAGTAAATTACTCCCTTTCATATAATCCATATCTACCACATACATCATTGGTATTCTAGGAAAGTGTTTATTATTACAAAATTTTACAAGGTGTGAGGCTGATTAGTAAATGAAACACAAACTGAAGAAATCATCCCTAGGCATGGCTACACTATCATTTTTATCAATCTTAGAAAAATTTGTAGAGGGAATGTCCTCTCAAATCTGTGCGAGACACGACACAAAAAGGTACAGCTGACAAGCTGAATAACAATTTGGGGTCAGCAAGATTTCATACAGTGGGATGATTAATAAAGATAAAAATTTAAGACATTACAAAGAAGTCCTACAGTTGTAGGTCCAGAGTAGGGTGAGAAACACCTAAGATATATAGTTAACTGCCAAGTTCAGTAACAGCCATCACTGTGTCACTGATTATTTTAAAAAAACAACATAGTCTCAGACAATATTGACAAAAAGCATATCATTCAGTTACCAGTTGCCTAATTATGATTCTGTGCTGCACTTGGGACTCCCAAGGGAAGTCATGTTTCACTGCACTGTGCTTGATTAACTTGCCTTGGGGATATCTGGATTCCTTTAAAAAGCCTATGGTGATTCAAGTTGCTTAGCTCCAGAAGGCTGAAATACTTAAAAAAATCTGAAAGTTTGGAAAGCAGATTTCAGGTCATCTGGGAGAAATTATTGCGCAGATAATATGAGGTTTTTTTTTTTTTTTTTTTTTTTTTTTTTT